TTGACTGTCACCTTGCCTATTACATGAAGCTGCCTTTCAAATGAACAGGCCAGGCCAGATGACCCCTGAGGCCTCTCTCCTTCTAATATCCCATGTCTATGAAGTTAATTCCATGATCATTTTAGAATAGTTGTATTTTCACTAAAAAATGGTTAATTTTGGGGGGTGCCTAGGTGGCTCAGTCAGTTAAGCCTCTTGATTTTGGCTTAGGTCATGGTCTCATGGGTCATGGGATTGAGCCCCATGACAGACTCTGCACTGATAGCCTAGAGCCTGCTTGAGATTCTCTCTCTCCCTCTCTTCCTGCCCCTCCCCTCCTCACTCTCTTCCAAAATAAGTAAATAAACATTTTTTTTAAAAAGTTAATTTTTGGAAAATAAGATACTCTACTTTGTATATGCTAAGTATTTCTTGATATAGTCTTTTCTTGTCAAGTAAGATGAAAACAATGCAATCCACTGCAGATAGAGAAATAAAAATGAAGAATGGCAAAGCTAAAACATTATATAAAAGTAGGTAAATAAAGGTAATGGTTATTCTAGGCATCCTTGAACTATAGCCATTGAGTGTTGGTATGAGAGACAAATTAGATGAAGTTGGCACTCACACGGGACTTGCTTAAAGTTCACATGAAAGGACACTTAATAGAGACCCTACCCAACTCTTTTTTTTCCCCATCCAATCAATGAACTTGAGCCTTTAACTTGTCTAATTGAGGGGGTATAACTTGGATGTTGGTTGGGGCACTTGCCTTCTAAACAGATGTAACTGACTGGAAACTGTGTACCATGTCTTGTGCAAAGTCTGACGTTCTTCCAGATTCCCAAGAATTCCTGGAGACCTGACTGTTTGGTTGCCTGGGTCCACAAGCCTGCTCCTGATGTTTGTTTGGTTTATGTATCAGCTTTCTCTTCTTCATGGCCTGCTGACTCTCTTCCTGCCCAAACATATATCTCTGCCCTGAGGGTACCAGGGCCCGAGTCCTCTCTCCTCTCTCTCTGCCCTCACCCCTTCCTTCCTACCGAGCTCCAAATGCTGCTTGCTCTATTATGCCCCAAAATGCAGCTTGGTACATCCCCCCCCCCCCACCAAATTCACTGTAGACCCACCCCTGTATAGCAAGGACTGAACACAGAGGCCTCTGCCCTCCTTAGAAGACTATTTGGACTCAAAACAGTATTTTTTTCATGCTGGTAAATAACAAAATTTTATTTTAACCAAATTTGATCATTTGCAATTTGGGGTAATTCAAACAAGGAGCTAGATGGACCAGGGCATCTGCAAATTTTTTCCATCAAGGGCCATATAGTAAATATGGGGGATTCTCTCTCTCTCTCTCTCTCTCTCTCTCTCTCTCTCTCTCCCCCTCTCTCCCCCTCTCTCCCCCTCTCTCCCCCTCTCTCCCCCTCTCCCTCTCCCTCTCCCTCCTTCCCTCCCTCCACTTCCTCCTCTCTCAAAATAAAAAATAAAATAAAATTTTTTCATGAATTCATTTTTCTTATGTCCAAATAGTATTAATTTGTCAAATGTTCATGTATAGTTGCTGTTTTGTTAGTCTATTCTGAATTTACACAATATTTAGTGCAAAGCAAGAATCTGTATAAGTACAGTAAAATAACACACAAGACAAAGGAATTAAAAATATAGTCTATATTATTATTGGCTGTGAATATGTGCAATACCACTTTTTTTATTATTGCTTTATGATGGTTATCTCTAAGTTTTTTGGCTATATCTCTGCAAAACTTTTTCAGCATGCATCTTCAAGTTATGCATCTTATTTATTTATAAATTATATATAGGAATGACTATCATTAGCTAATATTTCAAGTATATCACAATATACTTAGGGTGAGACTTTTCATTTATCATCGTCATGCATAACCATGTAGCTCATAGACTTTTGATGATTTTCCTCTGTTTTGCCCAAGCTCTTGTCAGATCTGATTAAATTCGTCATTATTTTTACCTTGTAATGTGGGTGATAGAAACCTTTTACTCAGAGCAGAACTGTCAGCTCTGTGACTGCACATTATTTACACTTGCATTTGTATTATCATCTTTAAATCTGCAGGTTCCTTGCATAAATCTTGCCCGTGTTAGAATGTTTTTAGTTTAAGGTTAGTTTAAGTTTAATATTTTAAGTTTAGTTTTAGTTTAATATTACAATCCGTAGATTGATTTGGCAGGCCTATCATTGTGCATTTCAGTGCACTCGGAGCAAATGAAAGGAGAGGGCAAGCCTCATGCCCTCCGCATGTGGAGGTCCCATTGTTCCTGGAGTGCATCTCATATAGTGCGAGGTGAGATCATCTGTGGAGCTGAATGAAGGCACAGTCCCAACCCAGAAGTTAAATACCAGCTAAAATGCTTTCTTTTGTTTTTAATGTTCATTTATTTTTCAGAGAGAGAGAATGAGCAAGCATGAGTGGGGGAGGGGCAGAGAGAGAGAGAGAGGGAGACACAGAATCCGAAGCAGGCTCCAGGCTCTGAGCTGTCAGCACAGAGCCCAACGCGGGGCTCAAACCCACAAACCATGAGATCATGACTTAAGCCGAAGTCGGACGCTAAACGCTCAACCAACTGAGCCACCCAGGTGCCCCTAAACTGCTTTCCTTTTTAAAGAAAACAAACATAAATGGAGGTTCCAGTATTTTCTTTCCACACCACAGTAGATTGTATGTACATCTCCATAAATCTCACAAATTTTGAGACCAAAGTTAATAAAAATATCATTATTTTCTTATTAAATCTTAATCCTTATACTGTGGCATAGCTTTTCTCTTGTTTATTTCTTTTTCATCCAGCTAGCTTTTAAAGCAATCTGGGGGCATCTGGGTGGCTCAGTTGGTTGAGCATCTGACTCGTGATTTCGGCTCAGGCCATAATCTCATGGTTGGTGGGATCGAATCCCATGTGGATCTCTGTGCTGACAGTGTGGACTCTGCTTGGGATTCTTTCTCTCCTCTCCCTCTCCTTCTGCGCCCTCCCCCCTCTTGCACATGCACTCTCTCTAAAAAAAAAAAAAAGAATGTGACTAATGTTTCTTTCACTCCACACCATGGTTGAGTGTTAAGAAATACACATATACAGGGGCGCCTGGGTGGCTCAGTCAGTTGAGTGTGTGACTTCGGCTCAGGTCATGATCTCACAGTTCATGGGTTTAAGCCCCGCGTCACGCTCTATGCTGACAGCTCAGAGCCTGGAGCCTGCTTCCGATTCTATGTGTTCCTCTCTCCCTGCCCCTCCCCTGCTCATGATCTGTCTCTCAAAAATAAATGTTAAAAAACAACAAAAAAGAATACACATACAGAGGGGGCCCTGGGTGGATCAGTCGGTTAAGCGTCCGACTTCAGCTCAGGTCGTGATCTCGTGGTTTTCGAGTTCAAGCCCCACATCAAGCTCTGTCTGCACTGACAATGTGGGGCCTGCTTGGAATCCTCTCTCTTTCTCACTCTCTCTCTCTCTGACCCTCCCCCACTTATGCTCTCTCTCTCTCAAATAATAAGCTTTACAGAAAAAAAAAAAAGAATACATGTATACATGTTTTACTCTAACATGAGCTCCAGAAATGTTAAGGGGACTTTATTCCTTTCTGAGGAAGGGTGGCACATATCCTTTTTTTTCCCTTTTTGGTAATTTTTGTTTGCTTGGGCCCTGTCAATTTATTGTTTATAGCATCTGAATGGAGTCACACTGTATGTTTAAACTGTATTCTCTGATTTGCAAAATTAAATTTTTTTTTTGCTTTCATTCTACTGTCCAGATTAGCCATTCATCTCAATGTGTAGCTACTACTGTTTCCTAGAACATCTTCTTATTTCATTATTTATGTCCCTGATAAAAATGTTAATTTTAAGAGTTCAAATAATCTACTATCTGGGCACTTTTATGTACCTGCACGATAAAGTAGATCAGACAGTCCAGGCCTGTGAGGAGTAAGGTGGACAGGGGTAAGTTCTTGGCCCATGAAGGGCGACAGGAGCATGGTACCTTTCATTGAGTTTCATTGTTTTGTTGATGCCACATTGACAAGATGTTCATAAAGGAGTCCCACTAACTGGTTCTAGAAGTTTCTGGAAGTAAAGAGGAAAAGCCAACAGTCATTCCCATCTTGAGAGAAACTATATCATTTTCCTGATGGAACAGAAAAGTGCCTTAAATCCTAGCTGTACAACAAAGTTCCCACATGGCTTTACAGAAATTCTTAGGCCAATTAGAATCTCTGGTGTGGGTCCAGCCAGCTGTAGTTTTGAGAGTTCCCCAGGCGATTCCATTGCATAGCAGCCAAGGTTGAGGATTCAAGAGGCTAGTAAGCTGATTAGGTCAATAGAAGGAAAATAAAAAGTGTAAGTCTCAGTACAGCTTAAGGAACTCAACAGTGGAAAAAAGTTACCCCACAAAAATATGTAAAAAGTTGGGAAAAAATGGGACAATTTTGTAGTTTCTAGTTGAGGTAGCCATAGACATCTTCTCTTGATCACTGTTGATCACATAGTGAAGGTTAAGATATTGGCTGAGAAAACCAAAGATTTATAAATTGATCCAAGAATGTCTGAAGGACTTTGAGGTCTTTGGCTTTGGAAGATGGAGGCTTATGGACCAACACTTCCAACTTTAGGTGATCTTTAGGGGCTTTTTGAGCTGTGGATATTTTACCCTGGTGCATACACCTACACACGCGTGCTCACATCTAACCTAAGGATACTTATACCTTATTAAGAAACCTTGTGCTTGGAAGGTTTATTTGGTTTTGAAGATGTGCCAGGGCTCCTGACCTAACAAAGATAAAGTGGATCTGTTTTAATCGGTGCCACTCTTTTGATCTGTATCACATATTACCTAGCTTTTCTCAGAAGATTATATACATCATGAGCCAGCCTGTGAGGGCACGGAGCGTTCCCTTCCTGTAGTTCTGGGGTCTGGTGAAGCATCTTCTGTTCAATAAGTATTGACTGAGCATTTGTCAGTGACCCTTGCACACTCTACTTTGTTTGTAGGAAGCAGTGCAAGTATTGATTAAGCACTCTGCTGATGTCAACGCGAGGGACAAGAACTGGCAGACCCCCCTCCACGTGGCAGCTGCCAATAAGGCTGTCAAGTGTGCAGAAGTGATCATTCCCCTGCTGAGTAGCGTCAACGTCTCTGACCGAGGGGGGCGCACAGCCTTGCACCATGCTGCCCTGAATGGCCACGTGGAGGTGAGTGCCATCATCATTGGGAACAAGAATTCTTCCTACGGGCTCTCTTAGCCCCACGTGGGACCTAATCTTAATGCTGAGGGTTTTTAGAGAGTGTGATGCATATTTCTGTACACCAAACCTTAGGCAACCGTAGCTATTTTTAAATTCACAGCTATTGGGTTGAAAAATTAGCCATCACCTCAGTCTTTTCCTCCGACATACATGCTGCATGGTTGCCTGTGACATCATTTTCGTACTTTGTGTGAACTCCAGGTCTCTGACCCACCTTGAGATTCAATGTTAATTTGACTCAGAGTGTCTGCATGTTGGTTTCCTTTCAGATGGTCAACTTACTCTTGGCCAGAGGAGCAAACATCAATGCATTTGACAAAAAGGACCGGCGTGCTCTGCACTGGGCAGCATATATGGGTAAGGATTCCATGAATGGAAAGGAGAGTGCAGATACCTGAGCCTAAAGAAGCCATGAGCCCGGTGTTAACCATGTAGGCCTTCTCTTGGGAAGGCCTGACTTCTTTCCAAGGTTGGGATTCACCTTTGTTAAGATTTGGTCCATTTTATTGGCCTACATAGAGCACTCCTATTAGACAGTTGCTTTCTCGGAGATTCATTTTACCCACAGAGAAGAGGAAGGATGAATCGTGGTCCAGCCCTCACTGACGGGGTTTCGATCTGGGATGGAGAGCGGCATGAATGCTGCTGCTTTTGGGCTTGTTATGGCAGCAAAGTGAAGTGTTCAAAAAGAAAGAGGGCTAGCTAGCAAAGCAAGGACACGTAAATTCCATGTGTGCTTTTATTTATAAATATTTTTGAAAGAAACAGAAAGGAAGGAAGGGCAGCCCCCTGGCTGTTGTGGAGGTTAAAGTGACCAGAGGAACCATGGAGTATCCTGCCTCTGTACCTCCGCCGAGGCTGGGGCTTACTGTTCCTGCTTCTTCCGGCTCGAGGGGGAGGGATGAAGGAACCCATGACACGTCCGCGTTTTTCCTTTTCACTTCTGTTGGCACAAATACCGCTCACAAAGATAGACCTCATGGAGTTTATTCTCAGTGTATACTTGTGGGAAATGAAGAGCTAAGATCTTTCCTTTGTGTTTCTAACTGGAGAACGTCCTGCAATTTGAAAAGCTGATGAGATTCTATCAGCCCCAAGTTGTAAACAACCTGAATGCCCACCCACAGGAGACTGTGTTGGTGAACTATAAAGATCTGCACAATGGAGGAGCGCCTGGGTGGCTCAGTTGGTTAAGTGTCCGACTTCAGCTCAGATCATGATCTCACAGTTTGTGGGTTTGAGCCCCGCGTCGGGCTCTATGCTGACAGCTAGCTCAGAGCCTGGAGCCTGCATCAGATTCTGTACTTCCCTCTCTCTCTGACTCTTCCCTGCTCACTCTCTCTCTCTCTCTCAGAAAAAAATAAAGCATTAAAAAATATTTTTTAAATAAAAATTTAAAAAAAGATCTGCACAATGGGGAGCTATCCTGTAACTTTTGTGATGATGTCATTAGTATTTATTAACATACAAAGAATTTGTGATATGTTAAGTAAAAACAGATCAATTCACGGTATGGATATTATGATCCTCATTTTTGTGAAAAAATATGCAATATAAACTTTCTATTCAGGTGTCTATTCAGTGTACACTGAAATGTCTATTCAGTGTTATATACTGAAATGTTAGCTGATTACCTCAAGGGATTGGTGATGATGAGTGATTTTGGTTTCCTCTTAACACCATTTTGCCTTTTCTGAATTCTTTTTAGTAAGCACACAGGCCTTTTATTATCATTAAAACAATAACATTAATTAATTGTGGGGAGAAAAAAGAGTGGATTGGGTAGGGATTATGTGGCTGTAGATCAGTCTGGATGGGTATTTCAGCTTAAACCATCAAAAGCTTAAGATTTTGCAAGCGTATCATTTTATTTAAAGACAGCACAAACTTTCACGCTGACTGAAGCAGATTGGATGTCTGCATAATACCTGCAGAACTGGTAAGTTAGGGGACACTTACCCCACTAATGTTTGTGCAGAGCACACACTAGACTAGCGTGAGATGGGACTTAGAGATCCTGGGGGTTCAAGTTTGTTCTTTGCTGATGTACAGTTAAAATATTTGTGTAGAATTGCTTTTTTGTGTGTCACCAGGATACAAATAGGAAAAAATATATAGATGGCTATCTTTAGGGAATAAAGGACAAAACTAGGACAAAAGATAATACCACTTAAGCTTAAGATAACACCACTAATAATTGAACATAATTTTTCTATATACAAGTCTTGGAAAAGAGTAAAATTTTAATAAAACAAGCCATGATTAAGCACTCTCTGTCTCTCTGTCTCTCTCTCTCTCTCTCACACACACACACACACACACACACAATTTCTCTCCCTCCCCCCCCCCCCAATAGACTCCTCTCTCCATATCTCTCTTTATCACACAGATGCACACACACCTCCACATATATCTTAGGCCTTTGGAGTTAGTACTTATCTTCTACCCCTCTATTATGAACCATGTTCAGAGCAATGACCCAAAGCATCAACTATCTTCAGTCACAATATAAAGGGCAAACATTTATCATACTGTTTATAGTAAGGTAGGGTGTAAAGGAAAATATTCTAGGAAATATGCCAACAGGAGTTGAATCTAAAAGGGTTTCTATTTAACCAGAAATTCACAAGAACACTTTTAAGTTGAACCACATGAAATTGGCATTTTTGTGGTCCAAAACTATGGTCAAGCAGCAGCAATTTCATATGATTTAACAATAATCTGTAGTTATTCTGATTGGTTTTTTTTTCTTCCACTAGTTTCTCCAAACCAAATTTTCCTTGTTGGACTTTTCAGTGAGGAATGGCAATTGCTTTCAAAAGCATTGCTTTTATTTTAACATAATATATTTTAGGTTGTGGTACTAACATGTTTAGCAGGATTTACAATATTGGTGACAGTAGAAGCTAATAGAGATAATTTAGGTGGTATAAATTGTCAAATTATCCTAAAAAGGTTCACCATGTCTTCTGTTGCTTTGTTTGTAAAGGCCACCTGGACGTTGTGGCATTGCTCATTAACCACGGCGCAGAAGTGACTTGTAAGGATAAGAAGGGTTATACCCCCCTGCACGCTGCAGCCTCCAATGGACAGATCAGTGTGGTCAAACATCTCCTGAATCTGGGGGTGGAGGTGAGCTATGATTAATGCATCAAAAAATAACCCGTCGTGTATTTGTGGGTCTTCCGTTGTTCTGAATCCTGTTTGCACTTTAATTCAACAGGGTAAAAAAAATCACCTTTATTTCTAGCATCCTATCTTTCTGAGTTTATAGGGGCAATCAAAGGGCAATGGGAGCATACAGCAAGTAATGAAAAACCAGAAAGTGGCTAACTTTCTGTGTAAACATAGAGAAATATTTAAACATATATATTGCATGTAATACATATTAGCCTGTTGTTTTTTAAGTAGGCTAGGGTTCTTCATCCCACCTTCAGAATTCAGCCTCCTAAGTTAGGTGTACATGCAGAAATAAATGAGTCAATGACAGGGACAAACAGCAGAAATGTCCAGTGCTGAGCCGGAGAAGTCAGCTCCATCCCAGTCTCCCTCAACTAGCAGAACAGGGGCAATGTGGGGCTTTGGAACAGCCCTGTCCCTAGAGGAAAGGAAAACTATCTTTCCTGATTCAGTTCTCCTCTGGCAATTTGAGGCAGCTTTGCCTTTCATTCTTTATCCCTTCCCTAGCCAAAAACTCTCTCCCTAGGAGTTGAAACCTCCAACTCCTCCCAGTTCACTTTTTGTCACATTCACTTTTTGCTGTCTTTCCCTTGGGATGACAGGCATTCCCAGGATGACCACACCAGGGCGAGAGAAAGCTCTGAATCATTATGTTGACAGATGGATGTTTACTTTCCTTGGTGCAGCCATTAGGCTTTTTTGTGTAAAATGCAATAAAGTGGCTCTGGTGATTTTACCCACCCTGTCTTGGACTCATTTGCAGATCGATGAAATCAACATCTATGGAAACACAGCCCTTCACCTGGCCTGCTACAACGGGCAGGATACTGTAGTTAACGAGCTGACTGACTACGGTGCTAACGTGAACCAGCCCAACAACAGCGGGTTCACCCCTTTGCATTTCGCTGCTGCCTCCACACACGGTGCTTTGTGTCTTGAACTGTTAGTAAACAACGGGGCGGATGTTAACATCCAGGTATGACATTCTCAGTCTCTTTCTGGACTAAATGAGCCTCTGCTTAAGCAAAATCAACTGTTGTAAATTATGCCCGGTTTTAGTAAATCAGAACTCTGAGTACCTTGCCTCCCGCAGCCTTGTCCTGTGTTGGCGTGCTCCAGAAGCTTAGCCATGTCGTTACCGCAGAAGTGGTCAGACAGCTGGAAGGCACTGAGGGTCTAGCCACGTGCTTTTGGTAGCTTAGTGAATGATCTAGAGCAAATACTGGTCTCCAGGATATTGACTTGGCTTAGTTTCTAACACTGAGGTGAATGTTGAGCTAATATGGCAGAACTGCTTGAGAATCAAAAGGAAAGCCTAAGGCAGTGATCGCAGCTCTGTTCCTAACCTGGCATAGCCCACCAAAAAGTTTCTCAGGCATCGTCCAATAGCAAACCCTAGATAGTGGCTTTAGTATTGTAACACTGACCTGGCTCTAGTAGTCTTTATTCGGCAAACTTACTGAGGATTATCTAGTGCCCTCTGTTTAGTTCAGAAGGAGTACTCCAAGATGAGATATGAGCTCTGCCTTCAAGGAATTTCCAGTACGGTAAGGAGATAGTGTGCTCGGATGTTCGTGAAGCAGGAGAGAATGTGCTGAGTGGAATGAGACAATAATAGAGTACTGCAAACTATAAGAAGCAAGCCAACACCTACTTCTTTCTTGAGAATCAAAATTGGAGCTTGCTTCTGAGCTGAGACTCAGAAGATTGATATCAGTTGAGATGAGAAGGGATAGAGAGAATCTGAGAGAGGGCATTCCAGGTAAAGAGAATCATGTGAAAGGGCTTGGGAGTTCTGGATAGGAAAAATTCTGGGTAGACTCTAGGTTAGTAGTTAGCTCACTGTAACAGATAGCCAAGAGGAGCTTATGCGTGCAGCCCTCACCATCCAGGTTACATCATTTGAATGCATTGAGATGAGGTCACTCACCTGTACTCATCCTCAACTTCCCTTAGCCCAAGCACATAGGAATCCTAAAGCAAGGTCCCAGGGTATTCTGCTTCTGCTTTTGAAAATCTACCATTCCTGAGATTTGATTTTAAGAATAGTGGATCAATCTGTTTTATTTTTTAAGATTTATTTATTTACTTAAGTGATCCCTCTACCCAACTTGGAGCCCAAACTCACAACCCCAAGATCAAGAGCCATATGCTATACCAACTGAGCTGGCCAGGTGCCCCTGGATCAATCTATTTTAATGACCTTTCCCATTCACTATTAAAATCTTTTTATGTTGTTTTCTTATGATTTTTAATAGTGAGGAAATATAAGACAAATTTTCAGAATAGTCATTTATTGTGCTTGAATGAATTGTGTGAAAGAAAGTACCCAGGAACAAGCTAACAAGTGACCTGACCAAGGAGAGGGCTTATCAACTAGCTCAGGAGTTTGGATTTCTATAAGCTGTTGAGATCAATACTCATTATAGAGATTATGTGATCCAAACTGACCATTAGAAATAGTAATCTTGCCACAGAACATAAGAGAAAAAATTGTACGTATGACTACATAAAATTTTTAAATGTTTATATGGCAAGACAAAACAAAAGAACCCCCCCCGCCCCAAAGAAAAAAACCAGAAACTAAATTGAAAGAGGAACAACTCAGAAAAATTTTTCTGGAATATACATGATAAGCAAAAAGTTAATACATTTAATATATAAAGAGCTCATAAACATCAATAAGAAAAAGTCTGATAACCTTGTTTAAATTCTGGGCAAAGACAGATCGCAAGAGAGATAATATAATACCCACTAAACCTATGAAAAATATTCAGTATCATTAGTAATTAGAAAAGTGCAAACTAATACATAGGTATATTTGCCTTTAAGATTGGCAAATAGAAAAAAAAAGAAAAAAAAAGAGGGGTGCCTGGGTGGCTTAGTCGGTTAAGCGTCCAACTTTCCGACTTTTGCTTAGGTCATGATCTCGCGGTTTGTGGGTTCGGGCCCCGCGTCGGGCTCTGTGCTGACTGCCAGCTTGGAGCCTGGAGCCTGTTTCAGTCTGTGACTCCCTCTCTCTCTGACCCTCCCCTGCTCACGCTGTCTCTCTCCTAGAAATAAATAAAACATAAAAAAAAAAAAGAAAAAAAAAAAAGAAAAAAAAGATTGGCAAATATGAACAAGACTTAATACCTAGTGTTATCAGTGAAAAAATTAATATGTAGTAAGACAATATCTAATTTTTTAATTTAAAACTGTATGTGTCTGTGTATATGAATAAAAAGAGAAAAATATTTGGAATATGTACCAATATAATATCATTGCAGAGAGGCAAAATTATGATTTGGATTTTTAGTTTATTTTTTATGTACTTGTTTTAATCTTCTGATTGTGATACATGGGCATTTGTTATTTTTATAACCAGGTGAGAAAAAACTATTTTTATTTTTATAAAAAGAAAATTCAAGTATAGTGGACCTAGAGAGAGGACAATTAGAGAATAACTAAAAGTCAATAAAACTGGTCTAGATAAGAGGTAATGAGTCCAGGGGAGTTGGCACAACCAACAGAAGAGAGAGGCTTTGCAGAAAGAAAATCAATGAAATTTGGATGGATAGGAGATAGAGGAATTGAAGACAAGTGTAAGAAGTGAGATCTGGTTAAGAGATAATACAGCATAGTGGTTAAGTGTTCAGTTCTGAGTCTAGACTGCCTACATTCCAATCCTAGCCTTGGCTTTCAGTAATTATGTAATCATAAACAACCTCTCCGTGTATCTGTATATCTGTAAAGTTAGGGAAACAATAACGTCTTCTTCATGGAACTGCTGTGAGGATGAAACAAGTTATTTCACATAAATTACTTAGAACGGTATCCCTCACATGGCAAGCACTCGATAAACAATTACCATCATTAGGGGGGATGTCAGGAGAAAGAATAGACTTAGAAGGTAAAACTGACAAGTTATTTTTTGAGAAGGTGATTTTGAGCCTTTGGTACAGACAGTCTGAGAAAACCAACAATGGAAAATGTGATCCTCCATCATGGGAAAGCAGTAGAGAATGGAAGAAAACAATTAGGCTGCCTCAGTCACACAGAGATGATCGATAGTAGAGGCTAGAAGAAAAGGATGAGGTCATGCAAGGAGAGAGTACCTCAGAGCATGAGGAGAGAAAGGATGGAGGATGCCAGTAACTCTTTAGTCTTAGGATCAGGAAGAGGAGAAAGAGCCAGAGAAAGGGATAAAAAAAGAAAGGTTAGAGAAGATAGAAAGGGAGTGGAGGGGAGTATAATGTCTTCCTGAAGGTGGAAAACAGGCAGAAATGAAGAAGTAAAACAGAAGAGAGTGTTCAGTGGAGTCGATCCAGGGTCCCAAGTCGGGGGTAAGAGACTATGGGGCATCAGAGACCTAGGACCTGTAACCCAAGGTGGAAAGAGTCATCATATGGCATAGAAGTCACCGAGGATGGAAGGAAGGCAGGAGGTTAACAGGCGGCCAAACTTGTTGTTCCCAAAACTTGTGACACTTGTATTACCATACTGGTATCTGAAGGGAAATCCTTGAATTCTCCAAATAAAGGAAAGTTATTGAAGTTAAACAAAGTAGCTCTTTTCATGAACTTTTAATTAATTAACTCAAGGAGTTATCTGATGTTCTCCATTCCCTCTTGCCTGAGAGCAAGGCTAGAAGGCCACTTTCTGGCACACCTCCCTACTTCCCCCCAGTTAACTGCGATGTGTCAGTTTATGGCAGCCTTCTCCCCCATAAATGGACCTAGAAAGCATGGCCACATAATTTAAATAATTAATTTTTCACATTCACTGCTAATCATTCAATACTCAACATGAGTATTGAAAAAAATACCTTTTTTTTTTTTTTTTTAAATCTGAGACTTAGGTTTATGTAATATCTGATCTGTGTAAATGGGACTTTGGTTTAAATCTAGCCTTTTGCTTCAGCCTCTTTCAGTCTACTCTGTTTATATCCGATTTCCTTCTCTTGAATCCTCCTTCATGATTCCGGATGCACTCTGGAGCCATAGACTGTCTACCATTTCCGTAGAGCCATTTTGTCTGACTCTGGAGATAGTTTTCTAATTGAAGTTGTTATCTCTGTGTACCCACAATGCTCCTTGGATTTTGAAAGTGTTTGTAGATTGCAAGACAATTTGTATTTGTTTATATTTTCCAAAGTTTGACAGAAATAGCATATTGAAATGTGGCCAAAACCCATGCACGTGTTCACTTTGTTTTCCTCTATCCTTACAAAGTACTAAGAGTGATATCTTCATGAGCAATTACAAGATGATGGAGAGGGGAGGGAGAACATGTGTCCTGTACACATTTTACAATCCCTCATTTTGCTTAGATTGACCACGGCCATGTCTCTTTGTAGTGTTGGTTTAATTATGATAAAATAATAAAGACACAATACTTTATACAATAATGCACTGAAGGTTCACTTGTATTTTGCAAATAGGAAGAGCATGACAAGATATGAAATAATTTTTCTTCTCTATTAAACATTACATTGTAATTCCTGTGGCATCTCAAAGCTCTTTTTGGAAGCATTCAAAATGTTAAAGAAAGCACTCAATACATAGTTATTCCAAATACTACTTAGATAGATTCACAAATTACCATTGCCAGGTTGCCTTCCTCCAGGTCACTAGCGTTCAGCCTGCCTATGGTCTGAATTCTTTTCCATCCCTAGGTCTTTAGTCTATTTAGCCCTCAGACACTGGAGCGGAAGCCCATCACACATCTACTGAAGTGAACTAGCTCTCTTCTTTATTATGTACCAGGTCTGAATTATAGAATGAGTTGTTCAGCAGAGGCTGAAGGTGAAAACTGGCACAGGCAAGAGAAAGAAAGCAGTGATAGGGACATGACATGACACTTGGAACTTTGGAGAGGATGTGAGGAAAAAAGAGAGGAATGAATGAGAACCAACCGTGGCTTTTAGAACCATTAAAAAATTGGAATACATATGGCTTTTTGCAGATTAGTGTTTTAGATTGCTCTTCCGTTGAATTAGGAAGCCCTATTGGGCATCTGACACATTCCCCCTAACCCTTGCTGGCTGGCCTTAATGTTATCTTATAAATGCTCTATAGCCCTCCGGTAGGACCATTGAGCTGTGTGACTACAGGAGGCATGTGCCACAGACACAAGTTCCTGGGTAAAAACAATGTCTGTGAGTTTAGGGAGGGTTTGGGAGATGTTGAAGGATGAGGGAAAAAGGCATCCAAAGTGGAAGAAATGAATGGATTTCTGAGGAGAATGGTGGTCAAGGAAATTGAGATGCTCCATTTAGTGAATGGTGTTGAATTCTGCCCTGGAGGAGGCAGAATGTTTATAAAATATTCTTCATCTTTATTAGTTTTTCTTCATGAACATGGATGAACCATGCCTACATCAACAGAAGGGCTTCTTGCTTAATTTTAAAAATTTCTCAAAATAATAGAATCTTCCAATCACTAACTACAATGGGAAAATGAGTCTAGAAATAGGAAAGAGACTGGAAATTAAGAAAAAAATCTTATAAAGGCAGAGGTTTGAATAAGTGGAAGAACTGAACATATCCTCTCTTTTGAGAATGCAAAGAATGTTTTATCCTTCTCTGACGTTCTTAAAACAGTGGAATAACAAGTCCCCCTGTGTGACAGATTTCTCAGGCAGATAATGAAACTCAGTAGGATACCTAGTCTCAACCTGAATATCCTGAGTTCTAACTTGTAAAGACTAAATAAAAAGTATTATCCTTTGGACTTCCATTAGTTTCCAATGGCTTTTTGAAGTAGCAAGTTCCCTTTACATCCATACCATATAAATACAACTGTTCCAAAATGGCTACCATGATACTCTCAATGCTTCCCATCCCCATCTCCTCCCACCATATCCCAAAAAGGGTAAGATATCAGCTAAGAACTGGACTCAGTGGTTGATGAATCCAGGCAAAGATAGATCTGATCTAGCTGTCCTTTGTATTTTACCAAAATTTGGTCATCCTGTTTATTTGCCCCTTTACCAAAGGCACAACCAGTCCATGGGAGAAAATGGTGCGGTGTTTTCTGTCCCTGAAATGGAACCATCATGGTCAACTGCACAACACAGAAACCGGTTATTTCTGCTTTGGTTCTCTGGCTACAACTTAGGTAGTTAACTACCAAGTTGGTAGTTATTCCCTGTAAAACCTTTAAGCTGTTTTCTAGACAGGAAAAGTTCTTAGCTAAGTATTTGTAAAGATATTATCTAAACAATGAAATATTTATGGCTTTATATATATTTAACTAATCCTAGTTATGTTTTCAATTAAATTTAAGAGAAAATATTGGAGCAAAATTTAAAGAAATAGCACCACCTAGGGACAAGTTCATGTCAACTCTGCAATTTCTGGAATTGTATCCTTATTCTCTTGGTTGCTGATCCTTTGCCTCTAAATATATCATTTCAGTAAAGCTTCAAGCTTACTTCCATCTTCCTTTCTTAATCTTTTCTGACTCAGGTTATAATCATATAAGATGGAGAAAATATCCTTTTTTTCTTCCATCGGCCTGATGACTTTTCACTATAAAGATTATTTTCAATTGATGCTCTTACTGCTCTGATTAACTCTTTCCTTGGCACAGATTGTACGTAACTCTTTTCTTCCTTTCTAAGGAATGGGCTTTTAGGATATAATAAAAATTCTTCTGTTAAACCTCTGTGGTTTTTATAAGCTATTCTAGCCCACAGTCTAAAGCCTTTTTATGGCTGCATAATATGTGTGTGTGTGTGTGTGTGTGTGTGTGTGTGTGTGTGTACGTATCACATCTTCCTGATCCATTCACCTATTGAGGGACAACTAGGTTGTTTCCATATCTTGGCTATTGTAAATAATGCTGTAATAAAAGTAGGGGGTGCATATATCTTTTGAATTAGTGTTTTAATTTTCTTTAGGTAGATACCCTGTAAGTGGAATTGCTAGATCACATGGTATTTCTGTTTTTAAGTTTTTGAGGAACCTCCGTACTGTTTTCCACAGTGGCTGTACCAATTTACATTCCTGCCAAGAGTGCATTTTAAAGCACAGGTATATGGGTTTCATTTCAAAAGTGAATTTGCATTTTTGACATCTCATATTTAACTTCAGACTTTGGAAAATGTTCCTGAGACTTAGAAAAATAAGGTACCTGAATTTCTTTCTCCTCTCTTTTCTTTTGTTAACAATACCTGAATTAAAGGATACATTCTGTTTATTGGGGATAATTAATATTTTCTTTTTGGTATTATTATTTTCATATGAAATTCTGTAAATGACTATTTCTTAATAAATATATAGGACTTTGGTATTTGGCATAATGATGATCATTATATAGATTTTGTACATTTTTCATGTTTTGGCTTAATCTGCGCCAGAGAGTTCCATCATTTATATCTTGAATAATGAAGAGATGTATAAATTCAGCACCTTTCCAGGTGATCATTAAAATGGCAATTTGCTAAACCATTGCATGTCATAATCCTATGATTTCTAATGAGTTAAATGAAGCAGGCATTTCTGTTTTGGAACAATAAAAAATGTCGTTGCGCTATGGAATTAGAATATAGGAAATGGTGGAGGATTCCACGTCTGTTTTGAGAGTTACAGTCATTTATAGCAGCATAGTTAACATTAGGTCAAACAGGGCCAAGCCAGTTAATACATCATTTGTCTTTTCTCGTGTACTTTTGACAAAAGTTGGAAAAGAAATAAAACACCTTTAAGGAAACCATCTTCATCAGTAGATCAGTAGAGGAAAAAATATTTTGGATGATTGCTTCAGTTTGAAACAGGATAGTTTAAAATGATCAGTGTAACTAGACATTTCACATTTCCTCTCTAAGATAGTTTTCACTTCTTGGGGCAGCTGGGTGGCTCAGTCCATTAAATGTCTGCCTTTGGCTCAGGTCGTTATCTCACGATTTGTGAGTTCAAGCCCCACATTGGGCTGTGCACGCAGAGCCTGCTTCAGATTCTGTGTCCCCATCTCTCTCTGCCCCTCCCCCACTTGTGTGGGGGGGGGTGTGGGGGGGGATGCGTGTGAGCTCGCGTGTGAACATGTGCCCACTCTCTCTCTCAAAAATAAATAAATAAAAACTTTTAAAAAATAGATATGATGTGATGTTATGCAGTTACTTGAGACTTCATATATATTTTACCTTTTGCTTTCAAAATTATCTTTTGCTTCTTATAATTTTTTTATTATACTTTTTAAAAATTTAAATTGGTATTTTTAGGGCATCCCTGTTTCATAGGGATATTTCAGATTGATGTCACTAATCCATTGTTTCTCTCCCTTCATTTTTTAGAGTAAAGATGGCAAAAGTCCACTGCACATGACAGCTGTCCATGGAAGGTTCACACGGTCACAAACCCTTATTCAGAATGGTAAGAGATTCTTCCCCAGTGTCGTTATTTGAACGGTGTCCTGATCTGAGCGTGGCTGTCAGTTATCTGAATATGAAAGATGATGCTCTGTTTTAGATAATGGTCTGTTTTATTTAGCTTAGATTTACACCATCCTTTGATGCACTTTGCTAAAAGTTCTTTACCAGACATATCATCACCATCCAGCTTAGGGGCAAGAACATAAAGCCTCCATTTCTCAGTTAATTCCCAGTCAGTCAAAGAACATATGAGTTTCAAAACTGTAAATGATGTCCTTATATGGGCTTAAGGTCCTGCATTCTTCACTCTGAATCTAATAAAAATAACTATCATACATTTTCTAGCAGCAAATCTGAATTATTTTTAAGTTTTAGAATTCACCATAGTTTCCTAAGTTAAAACTCTTTAAGCTACTTGGACAAAGGTAGGAAAAATGAGATGACTCAGAGGAAAAACAGTTAAGTGCCTGATATAAAGGATGATAAAGTCATGGGCTTGAAAGAAACCTTGGAAAGTCACATAATCTAGTAATTTTCCAGGCTCACTTGGAAAAGTATACTTGAACCACTGGGTTGTCTCTGTAGCCAAAGTACTAGGGAGTGTCACTTCACATTATGGTTTATAATACTAGTATGGGTTGTGGCCAGCATCTGTGAGTAGATTGACCTTGACCACAGAACTACTGCTTCCTTAGCAAATCTTAGAGACAATAAAAAAAGAAACAGGTTTAGTCTAAAATTCATGCTGACATTCCAGGTAAATTTGGCAGTTCCTAAACTATTTTTAGTTGACCCACATTTGTACTTTTTAAAGTTCTGGCATTAGTCAGTTTCTTAGACCTGTCTTTTTCTCATCTTTAAGAATTTTGGACGAATTGTTAGTGGTACTATGTTATATCTTAGGTACTCAAGTCATAAAACCAAAAAGTTACTTGACATTTGGATGGCAGATCAGCCAGGGAAATTAAGCTTAGGAAGCAAAATATCTGCAGCAAAGTGAAGGAAATTTATAAGCATTTCAATGTAACTATAGGGAAAAATAAACCCTGACAAGTTTCCAGTGAGCAAAGGAAGATAAAATGAAAATTAGCTGCATAACAATCATTAATTCTAATTTGAAATATGTGGTATGTCTTTGAATCCACTTTATTGAAAGGGCCACATTAGTTGTTTTGTTTTGCCTTAAGTAAACAAGGGGAGGTGGGGAATGACCCTAGAAATTTTCCTCACACTTTCCTCATCTCACATATTTCTCAACTTTTTTTTTTTCCCAGAAACAGTGTCCCCTGCCTTAAAAATAAATAAAACTAGGGAGACTTTTGGATCCATTTTAAAAAATTTAGTGTGAGGGGCGCCTGGGTGGCTTAGTCGGTTAAGCGTCTGACTTTCGCTTAGGTCATGATCTCGCTGTTCGTGGGTTCGAGCCCCGTGTCGGGCTCTGTGCTGACTGCCAGCTCAGAGCCTGGAGCCTGTTTCAGTCTGTGACTCCCTCTCTCTCTGACCCTCCCCTGCTCACACTGTCTCTCTCTCTCTCTCCTAGAAATAAATAAAAACATAAAAAAAAATTTAGTGTGAATTTGGGGTGCCTGAGTGGCTCAATCGGTTAAGTGTCCAACTCTTGATTTTGGCTCAGGTCATGATCTTGCAGTTCATGAGATCGAGCCCCACGTCGAGCTCTGTGCTGACAGCGTGGAGCCTGTTTAGGATTCTCTCTCTCCCTCTCTCTCTCTCTGACCCCACCTCTCAAACTAAATAAATAAGTTAAAATAAAATTGAGTCTGAATATAATCAATAGGCCTTCTTTGGTATAAAAAGCTTTGCTTCTTAAAGCATATTCAGGCACCAGTGGTCAGGTCAGAGAGAGAGCAAGTTTTCCCTTTGTGAGTATAGCCTTCACACAGCTCCCCCCCTGTGGCCAGACAGCACTGGCCATCTCCTTTGAATCAGGCCGTGACACATCTCCCCCTGGAATGTTGGTGTGCTGACGGCTGTCTGGGGGTGTTGCTGGCTCCTTTGACCTCTCCAGAAGCCGTTCCTGTGGACTTGAAAGACTTCCATTTCCTGTCTGGGCACGGTTGCTAATTTTTTGAGTTGGGATGAGACCTGAAAGAGAACCCATCTCTCGTTCTCTGTGATCAAGGAGCCTGTTTCAGAGCCTCATTCTTGCTGGCCTGGCATCTTGCTTGTGGGTTGGGTGGAGTCCAGGGGCCTGAAATGATAAGGATAAAGTGGCAGTAATACATCGCCCATTATATATAATGATACAGCTCATGTTCAGTGAGTGTTCACACTGCCAGGTGCTTGGGTAAGCACTCCACATAAATCCTTTCAACCACCCCATGAGGAAGAGTTGTTGTCGTCATCCCCATTTCAAAGAGGGGGAAACTGAGGCATGGAGGTTGTCACTTCTGTCAGGATACATGGCAGGTTTGTTGAGGACAGCGATTGGAACACAGCCAGTCTAACATCAGAGACTGAACTCTCAAGCACTACACTTACAAATGCATTTTCTGGATGCACAGTGGCATATTTAAAAAATTTTTTTACCTTGAATTTTATTTACTTTAAGAGTCACATATCTGGAATAGAGTTGTCCCTGTGGAAGGATGATTTGGCATTCTCTTCTGTCAGCTGACAATTCTTTGCATTCATTACACATCTGAGAGCTGTGAGTTCTTCCATTTGACATTTTCAAAAATGCCCTCAGGGAGAAGAATAGGAAGCTCTTTTCTTTCCTCCTGTTTTTCTAGCTTCCTTCTGGGAAAAATCCAGAGGCTCACACCCCAGGATCTGGTATCTGTCCCCCAGAATGGGTCACTGCACAACAGGATTTGGAATGCTGGTCCCACGTGGGGACACCAGTTGGCTCCCTTACAACAACTGAGCATGCTTCTGAGGAAAATTCTTTGTGTTTATTTATTTGTTTTGTTACATCACCCTGGTGTTTGGACTTTGTATGGCCTTTCTCTACTTCCCTGACTGTTCTCTAGTCAAGAGTTATTAGTTCTTCATAACTTTGTTTTTCCGGGATCATTCAGCATCAATACGACAGTTGTTAAATAAGAACTAAAAGAGAAACAAACAGAAAACCCAAACACACACACACACACACACACACACACACACACACCTCTTTTATTTTTATAGGTGGTAGTGGACTACCTCTACTGTTCAATCACATTGTTTGTTGTCTGAAGCTATGTTGTCCCAACCACCGTGTGACACTGTGTGACATCAAGAGGCATGTATGTGATCCAGCCATTGGCACTAGGTGGCTGACTCAAATGCTGTGTGGCAGGTCACAAGGTTTCAAAAATGATGTCTGCTTCATGGAAGCTTTAAAAGTAGAGTTTGAAAAGGAAGAGTCAAGTGATAGGTTAAGATGATTCATTGTGAGATTTTTGACCTTTTGGCTCACAATACTTCTGAGGCAGTTTAATAAGATGACCTTATTTATGCAGGAAAAACTAACTTCAGAGGAATATTTAGATAATGCTGCATAAATTATCCCTTCTGACATGCTTGCTGTACTTCTAAACTCACGAATGTTTATTTTCCTCACTAATTATCAGTAATCAATTACTAGCATTTCACTTGCAACCTTCAAATATATTGTAAAGATATTTAATTTACATTTCAGGCAAATCTTAAAGATTTTTAAGTGAAAATGGAGAGGTTTGGGAAATAACTACAAAATAGAAATTGATTCATCTAGAGGTCCTACTTTAATATCAAACATATTTCTGAATAACAAATACAATCTGTCTTTTATTTTTCTACTAGTTACGATGTTTTTCTTAAATCTTTTTTAAATGACAACAAATGCATATGTGGAAGGTAATTAAATATAATTTTATAATTTTACATTGATTTATGAAATGGTAGTAACAACAATAAGAAATTTATCAACTCAGCCCTTTACATTTTCCAGTATTTTTCACTCTCTTCTTTCCCTACCCAATATTGGGCATATTTCGGGCTGATAAACACGGAGGCTCTAACCTAACACTTCTTAAGAAAGGTTTGGTGCCTCTTGACTGGAAAGGACATGAAGTGATGCAGTATTTGTCCAGGAAAAAGGTTTCTCTGAAGTCTGGGGATCTGCGTCTTGCATCTCCCTGGATCAGCTCTAGGGATGGACCTTTCAGGCCAACTACTGCTGGAAGCTCTTAGATACATGGGCCCTGGATTGCTCTGATGTATCTGTGGAGACAGTATTGCAAATAGTTTCACATGTGTCACTTTCTTTATTGTCAGGATGTGGGGAAAGCCTATCTAACTTCATTGCAAAATCTAAATACTATAATAGAAAATACACGAATTCCAAAAAATAAGGGCTTTTTTCAGAGTAAAAAAATGAAGAAAAATGAAAATATAGAGGGAAAATATTTGTAATGTATATTACTGATAAATGGTGAATCTCCTACATATTTTGAGAATCCTCGAAAATCAAGGAATAAAAAGCTACACACACACGCGCACAAACACACACACACACAAAGAAAGAGAGAGAGAGAGAAAAAATAGTCAAAAGCCATGAATAAATAGTTCATGGAAAAAGATAAACAAATAGTCCTTCAATATAGGCAAAGATGCTCGAATTCCTTAATACAAGAAATGCAAATGGAGACTAGACTGAGATAGTACTTCTCACCCATCACATATCAGGTATTCAAAGACTTGATTAAGCTATGGGGGAAAAGACATTCTCATACATAGCTCATGTGAATGGGAAAATGGCACAGCATCTAAAGAAAAAAATGTGGCAAAATTGAACAAAACTACATATTTCTTTCTTTGACTGAGAAATCCCCTTTCTAGGAATTTACCCTGAAGATTCATCCCACAAATAAGAAAAAAAACATATGCATGAAGTTATTCACTGCAGCTTTCCTGATAATAGCAAAATGACATTTACTACCTAAATGCTCACCCTACCAGATAACTCGTATATCCATGCAATGGAAAATAATAAAGCTGTACTAAAATGAGGAATACCTGAAAGAAGTGATTTGTAAAAGTATATTTAGGAGATTTTCAGGATATATTGTTAAGTTAAAAAAAAAAAAACCAAGGTGTGTTTATTTTTGCAAAGAGAAACAAAGAAAGCATGAACCAAAACTAATGGAAATGATTACTGCAGGATGTGGTTGAGAATGAAGGGGAAGGGATGGAAATCAGAGTGAAGCTTTTAAAAAATATAATTTTGACTTTTGAATGTTTTACATATTGGTAAAATTAAATCAAAAGCTGGTAAAATTTTGGAAACAGACAGAATCCAATGAACCTAACTATGTAGCAAGTTGATAGCATACAGAATAAAGAATTTAGGTAACTTTTGAATAAAGTACTCCCTGTTTATGTTAAAATCCTTGCAGGAAACTTTGTTGGGATATAAGATATTCGCACGGTCTCGAAGTACCCCCCACAAATTGTTAAGTACAAAGGGGAAAAGACATTTTGCAATGGAGAGTACTGGTGGGCATCACCTTAACCAAGTAATCAAGCTCCTTTTTTTTGTTTTATTGTGGTAAAATATATATAACATAAAAATTTACCATTTTAACTCTTTTTAAGTGTACAGTTCAGTGGTACTAACTACATTCGCATTTTGTGTAACCAACACCACTGTCCATTTCTAGAACTTTTTCATCTTTCCATACTGAAACTTTACACATTGCATCATCAAAATTTGCATCATCTAGTGAAATAACCTGACCTATGTGCACTGTGGAGATGCAGTGGGAAGTGCACATCAACTCTGGGGTGTTCTTGACAAAATGTTCCGCCTGAATCTAATCAAGGAAATAATCAGACAGCTCTAGAATGCAGGACACTCTCCAAAGATATAAATGACATAGGAGATGAATAAATGAATGAATGAATGAATGGCAGGAGGGTTGTTTTAGATTAAAAGAAACTAACGGGACATGACAATCAAATGGTAGCAGAATCTTTTATTGGATCCTGGATTTTAAAAAAGTAACAGCTATAATGCTCATTTGATGGATAATTGGAGAAGTTGGAATATGCTTTTATGTTAATAAAATTATGATAGCAACATTAAATTTCTTAAGTATACTAACAGAATTATAGTTACGTAGGAGGATGTCTTTGTTCTCAGGGGTGAAATGTTATGATATCTAACTTATTTTAAAAATGGTTCCTCAAATAAATGAATAGATAGACAGACTATATGTACATATATATTTAGGGAAAAGGGAGAGAAAGAAAGAAATGTAGTAAAACAAAAAGCTGGGGGAAAAGAAGACAAAACAAAGTACATGAAAATACTATATTATTAAAGGGACTGTTGATGATTCATGTGGTAAATATAGACATTTTCATTTCGTAGTCTATGCATTTATTCATTTTACTCATCATAATTTAAACCAAATACTCAAACTACATAAAATGTTTTCCTGAACTTCCTATTCTCTTGGTTCATATCCTTTAATATAAAGTTTTTATAAAAGTTTTATAAAGTTTTAATATAAAGTTTTTAATCCAGCAGGTAAATTAAAATTAAATGTATCTTCAGAATTACATTTTATGGAATTTGATTACATTGTTCCTTCAGAGAAGGAATTCAGTTGTTAAGTTTTTAAATCTTTAAAAAATTTTTTGTTTATTTTTGAGAGTGGGTGAGACAGAGCATGAGTGAGGATGAGACAGAGAAAGAGGGAGACACAAAATCTAAAGCAGGCTCCAGGCTCCAAGCTGTCAGCACAGAGCCCGAGGCATGGCTTAAACCCATAAACTGTTAGATCATGACCTGAGCCAAAGTCAGATGCTCAACCTACTGAACCACCCAGGTGCCCCTGGATTTTAGATATTTAAATAAGACAATATGGAATGACTTTTCAAAGCATTTCTAACAAACTTCTCTCTGTGTCGATTTAATAATACTACTAGTTTAGATGGTGACCTGTCCCCTGGAAAGACATTCCCATTCTTGTACTTCAGAATAGAGATGTACACAGAGGGGAAAAGTAATCAACATTTGGACAACAGGAGTGACTAGCACAAAATGTAGTATCTGAATCAACCTGAATCCTTATGTTATTCCATTTTAAAACATCTCTTTCAGGAGGTGAAATTGACTGTGTGGATAAGGATGGCAACACTCCTCTCCACGTGGCTGCAAGATATGGTCACGAGCTTTTGATTAACACCTTAATAACCAGCGGAGCTGACACAGCCAAGTAGGTTACAGCAGAAGGGATTCTGCCATGCAGTAGATTGTTTCTGCTTATCTAGGTTGGGGTGGTTCTGTACCATTGTGCTAAATACAAATGAAATTTAAACTAAATTAACTGACTTTAAATGATGGATGCAAGGAAGAGTCCATTTTATTTTCAGCTACAGCAGAAAGAGGCCTATTCCAGTGACTTTAACCAAGGATACTTGAACTCTATTCCTAACTCTACTTTCTAATATTCTGTTCTTTCCAATATTTAATGTTAGAAAGCAGGGAAACCACAACATAATTGGGCAAATTCAGAATTTATTCAGGGTGCTTCCTTAGTTTTAATGATATGATTATGGGGTACAATTGAGTAAATCATCTACATTGGGAAGGAGGACCTGACTTCATTTTACACTTCAAGAAGAAAATATAAAGCAGCTGTACAAATCTGTCACAATGTGGGGTGCTATGGGAAGTTTCAGAAATAAGTCACCTGGTTGATACCTTCAAGGAGCTCATAATTTTGTTGGAGGCCCTCTTAAGACAAAGAACCATGCAAGATAGTATATCACAAAGTTCTAAATGAAGCAGGATTTAAGTGGCAAAATGTTCAGTGTAGACAGCATATACCACAGGGTGTAGACAGGAAGGAGAGAGCTCAAAGGTGGCAAAAGCCTTTAAGCGGAAGGTGAGTTTTAGGTAGGCTTTGAAGGATGACAGTGATGTGGGTAGAGCAGATGGCGGCCTCCTGGGCAGGGAGGAAAGCAGGAACAAAGGTTGAAAGAGTCCTATTCCACAGTACTCTGCCCTGAGGTCATATCGTGTTGCACAGGTTTTCAAGGGCACTACCTGGGCTCCAATCCAAGCCACCTTGCCTGTGAACTGTGGGACCTTCAGCCATTGCTTAAGGTCTCTGTGCTTTGGTTTCCTCATTTCAAAAATGGGAGTAATAATAGTACTTGCCCATGGGTTTGTTATGAGGATTAAACGACATAATTATTAGCAGATCTCTCTGCTATTGGTTAAGATCTATATGAGTTACGTAAATATATCTGCTAATATTATCAAGCAAGATAATCTATGTTAAAAGCTCTTTGAAGAGTGCCTAGCACATAGGAAGCTATCAATAACTGTTTTTTTTTATTACTTAATGATATGTAGTAGCACCAAATTAAAGAGAGCTTTAAATGACTGAATAAAGAGTGTAGTTTTGATCACAGAGACTGGGAAAGAAAAACCAAATGTTCAGTAGAACGATATAAGGACAGTGTAACACAAGGAATTCTATTTTATTTGCCAAGTGTTGTGCAACAGGATTGAAAATCTTGCTTGAGAATAAACTGGAATTTAAATAATCCATGGAAGGCATCAGTGGGTTCCAGCGACCTTCTGGGGTACCCGTCCAGTGGTGGGAATAAGGTCAGAGCAGATGCCTGCGGTACTGTGAGGTGTGTACCACGCTATGTGATCAGGCAGGGAGACACAGACTCTGCGGGTTTCACAAAAGAGGGGGCATTTCAGGGGCGCCTGGGTGACTTAGTCGGTTAAGCGTCCGACTTTTGCTTAGGTCCTGATCTCGCAGTTTGTGGGTTCGGGCCCCGCGTCGGGCTCTGTGCTGACTGCCAGCTCGGAGCCTGGATTCTGTTTCAGTCTGTGACTCCCTCTCTCTCTGACCCTCCCCTGCTCACGCTGTCTCTCTCTCTCTCTCTCCTAGAAATAAATAAAAATATTAAAAAAAAAAAAAGAGGGGGCATTTCAGCAAAAGGAAGGATGGATAGGTGTTTGCCAGGAGAGCAAAATTGAGTGAGGTAAAAAGATAGAGGGAAAGCAAGGAGGGCCATTCCAGGAAGAGGGAACTGTATTTACAAAAGCACAAACAAGCACATGTGTTGAAAGCAGATTCCCAAGCCTGGCTTCTCTGATGTGTGTGGAGGAAGGGAAAGAAATGAGGTACGAAGGCAGGAGAGCCACATCTTGAAGGACCTTGCATGTCCCGCTAAGGATTTGGATTCTATTCTGAGGCATTCAGAAACTGTTAAAGAATTCTAAGTGGATGTAGGGAACTCTATGTCTAATGATCCCATTCGTATGTGAGAAAGATCACTCTGACAATAGCCCAGACGTGTGGGAGGTGGTCCAGACCAGAAACGCGTGGCAGTCTCCTGCAAATGTCCAGGGAGGAAAAGATGAGGGCTTGGGCTCAGGACGAGGCTGCGGGGGTGGAAAGAGAGAGACATACTGACAAATAGGAAGAGTAGTGGGCTGTCTCCTTTCAGAATAAAGGACCTTTCTGACTAGGCTATCGCAGTTAAAAGAAGCAGTTCAGTCTTGTGGAAGGAGCACTCTCCTAGGGTTCAGCAGGCTTTTACAGATTCAGAGTTCCGAACTAGATCATGGCTCCCCAAAGCCAGAGACTGCAAATGCTTGGTGTTCATTAGTCAGAAGGAGACTATCTAGGCACACACACTTCACCTGTGATATGTTAATGTTTTCAGTGGTACTTTTCTTTGAACTTAGGGTTACTTGCAGAGTTTTTTTTTTAATGTTTTATTTATTTCTGAGAGAGAGAGAGAGTGTGAGCAGGGGAGGGTCAGAGAGAGAGGGAGACACAGAGTCTGAAGCAGGCTCCAGGCTCTGAGCTAGCCGTCAGCACAGAGCCTGATGCAGGACTTGAATCCACGAACCATGTGATCATGACTTGAGCCGAAGTCAGATGCTTACTTGACTGAGCCACCCAGGCGCCCCTACTTGCAGAGTTTTAACCAAACAACCATGAATTTCTGATTTTCTTTCAGGGTTGGATCCATATGAGGGTAAACGGGGCTCACTACTTACTTAAAATTTCCCCAAACACATTTACTCAATAAGCACAAAGTTCATTTCTCGGTAATGATTTTGCCTTCAGTTTATGCAAACACACACCATGTGGCTAAAGTGCCTTAGAGGTGGCACTGCTGTTCAAGTGCCCTTTCCTCCCATTGACTGTGCTGTGTCCTGGGGATGCCACTGAGGCAAACATTGTCCCAGCCTCAAAGAGCCACATCTGCTTTTGTCACAGCTTATCTGGGGATAAGAATGCTCCCTGCAGTGGGGTACCTGGTGGCTCAGTCAGTTAAGCATCTGACTCTTGGTTTCAACTCAGGTCATGATCTCATGGTTCATGAGTTCAAGCCCCACATTGGGCTCTGCACTGTCAGTGCAGAGCGCTTGGAATTTGCTCTCACTCTCCCTCTCTCTCTGCCCCAACCCCACTTGGGCTGTCTCTGACCCTCTCAAAAGAAATAAACTAAAAAAGTAAATGAATAAAAACTGCCTCCTGCAGCAAACTGTGGTTCATTAGGCTACAATCATGTGTACTTTGTGTGTGTGTGTGTGTGTGTGTGTGTAGTACATGGGGTGGGAAGTCACCTGAGGGAAAATATCAAAATGAGGTGTAGGGGTGGGGGGGGGGATGGACTTTGGAGAAGATCAACTTTGCTAAAGGCCCCAGAATATCAGTGTTCCCTGGGCTCCATGTAGATCTATGTCAAGTAGCTCATTAAAGAGGAGGAAAGTAGGACTTTCCTTCTATAAATAAGAAAACAAATTGTATTTATGAAAATTAACTTATCCTCATTCATAAACAATAGACTAAATGTATTTTTTTTTGAACAAATGTATTTTAAAAGATCTCCATATGACACATGTTATGGTCATTGCTTTCTTATGAATTTATTTGAATCTCATTCTAAGGCCAAATGAATGTTTTTGATATTTATTTTCTTCCTCTGAACTTTAAGTCTGAGCACTTTCTGCAACTTGACTCAGTGCTCACACAACTTTATGTGGTGTCAGAGCCCTTTGGTTTCTCTTCTTTAACTTTTTTTTACATTTGGGACACTTTTCTCTGGGATTTTAATTTGTCTTTCACCTTACTGATTATGCTCTCATTTGTTTTTCTGCCTCAATGGCTGCAAAATTAGGGGTCTTATAGTTATATAGGATAGGTAACTGGTTCTGACATCTGTTCATTCACTAAATGTCTGTTGAAGGTCTGTGAATTATTACCCCCTGTGTCAGGTTCCTGGGTTACAGAAATCCGTGCCCTCAAGGAATTTATAATTCTTTGGGGGCAAGAATTAAACAAGCTGTTACAATCATGCCTGAAAACTGTGATGCCAGAACATTCACTGGGTGCCACTGGATACAGAACATGTGTGGAACATGGCAGGGTGGGGGTGGGGCTGGTGGGAGGAGTGACGGTGACTGGAGACTGCAGGCTGAGTAGCAGTGAGTTGGGTCATGGAAGTCTTACAGATCCTAAATGTAGACAGATTATTTTTATTATAGTGTTACTTGAATATGTATAAATGTTAGGCTAGATAGAAACTCCTTAGGCTTTTAACTCTATTTTATCAATAAATCCCCCCCCCCCCAAATACAAAATACATGCAAGCAGCACTCAACTTTAACAAGCTTACAGTAGTAGCAAACATTCATGAGTGCTTACTCATGCAAGGCGCCACTCTGAGGAATTACATTTAATTTACTCTATGGAGTAAGTGATATGATTATCGCCATCTTATATGTGAAGTAAATGAGGCACAGAGAGGTTCAGTTACTTGCCCGAGGTCCCAGAGCTTGTGAGAGGGTTGAAATGAGACTCTGTCCATCTGGATCTGGAGGTGAGTCTCCTCAGCAAGAGGCTTGCTGCCTGTCTGTGTAGTGGACGATGTGATAGTGCACCGTTTACCAAAATTCAATCACAATTTTCACGGAATTGTCCTGGTGGCCGAGGTGCTGACTCCTTTGAAGTCGGTACGTGCCGTGGGAGTAGGATTTTGCAGTGGCTTCAAATGCACCAGAGGAATTGTGGGCTCATTACACAACGCAAAGGCCAACTGCTGCCAAATTCTGTGCATAGAAAAGGCTCAGCATACTGCATTATCACTCACCCTTCCCAGGTCCAGACATCATTTGTCTACTAAGTCCACCTTCCTTCTGTTCTTATTGGCTGCTGCCAATCACAGTAGTTCC